AAATATTTAAGAAAAAAGTAATACAAAATTTTATTAAATAAATTAAACTAAGAAAATAAATTAAAAAATTAATAATATTTAATAATTAAGTTAAGAAAAATAAAATTATATAATAAATAGAAATAATGCAAATATATGTTAAATAAATAATAAAGATATTTATTAAAAAAAATATTTTAGGATATAATAAATATAAAAAATACGTTTGAAAAATACTAATTTTTTATATAAATAATATTTGATTAATTTTAAATATATATTTTTGTTTTTCAAATTGTAACGTAATATATTGCATGATTATATAATATTTTATTTTATAATTAATACAATTTTTTTTATTTTAAATTATTATTAATATTTTTTTTTTTTTCTGAATAATTTTTAATTTTTTTTATTAAAAATTATATAAAATAAATAAAAAGTTAAATTAAAGACAAAAATAATTGTTTTAAAATTAAAAAAAAATATATTATATAAATAATTATACTTTAAAATTATTATAATTTTATATTTTTTTAAGTATTTACACATTCATATTTCAATATTAATTATTTTTAAATTATAATTAAAATACATTATATAAAATTAAGAAAAAATGAATTCTTAAGATAGTAAAGGTGATTCTGATTTATTAACAGATTCAGCTAAATCATTTACTTCAAATGTTGTTTAAAATAAAAAACTCTTCCAAAGTTTAAGTATGCCATTAGCTTATAAAGTATTTAAATAAGGATAAACAATTGCTGTAAAAAGTAAATAATTACAAGAACTAAAGGTTGATTCTTAATATTACTTAAAGATAATAAATTAATTAATTGATTTTTTAGAAAACAAAAACGTTGAAACAAAGTAAATAAAGAAAATAATACTGAATGAATAAGAAAATAAACGAGATTCTTAATGTTAATAAATACTAAAAGAAATAGTAGATGAATAGAAAATATTATATATAATAAATAATTCTGGGTATGAATAGGATAAACTATTAGACATTATCGATTTGCTAATAAGTGTATTCGATGAATATATAAATAAAGATAATTATTATGATTAAAAATCTATATTAAAGGATATTTTTAAATATTTTTCTTTAGTATCTATGAAGCATAATGTTTAATTGTTTTTTACAATTCAGATTATTTTTATTAAGTTTGTGTTAATTTTGTCAAAAAACTTATTAAAGACAAGAATTTTTGGGAGCGGGATATTCTTTTTTTATAAACACTAGGCAATATAATCTCAAATAAAGATTTTATACATTTTACTGAAAAGAAATTTTTGAAATTCTGTTCTTTAATTATATAAATATACGAATATACATAATTAGATCATACAAAGGAATTAGAAGCTTACAAAAAAGTTAAAAGAAAAGATCTTGTAAATACTCCTCCAGTCGAATTTCAATAATATAGTATATAATGTAATGAAGTACTGGCACTTTTACCTGCTTTTTTGGCTGAATTTGTGCCTTAAATAAAACTTAAATTAGCTAAAAATTACGAAAAAGAAGAAAATTTACTTTCATAGTTTATAGGAATTAATATACTAATAAAAATGTGTCTTGATGTAATCGAAAAAAATGAAATTTATTAATAATAAACCTATATAATACCAAAAATTTTGTAATATATTAATAACTCATAGCCAATAATATAATTATAATCTATTTAATTCATTATTAAATATCTAAAAATAGTTGACATGAGATTTTGGTTAAAATTAGATAATCGTTATATGGGTTTTGATGCTTCTAATACCATTCAAAATATACTTGTAAAGGGATAACCTCTTTTTTTAGACGAATAGCTTGGATTATATAATGATTGGGGCGGATATTTTGATGAAGATGATCTTATTTATATATAAAATGGTATATAGTTAGATCAAAATTCTTAGGTTCCTTAATATACTATTAGTTTATGGTTTATATACCCTTTTAAATAAAAATCAGATTTTATATAATAAGATATAGATTTTCGGGCTGAATAAAAAGCAGAAAAATAGCCAAAAAAGCCTTTCAGAACTTTTATTTAATGTGAAAAAGGAGTAGGATGTATTTTGGGAATTCAAAATGATGAAAATTTAATATTTTTTGATGACGATTTTTAAATGCATATTTATAAATTGAAATACATGTAAACTGGATGGAATAGTCTTATAATGAAAATAGATAATATAGCCTAAAATGTTAAGATTTATATTAATAGAAAAATGGTTGTAGATTAGAGTAAAGTTACTATATAAAGAAATATTTACTTTTTTGGAAATTGTGTCAATAAAAATGAACCTTGTGGAGCTGTTTGTGATATTAGAGTATATGAGTCTATTATTCCAGATGAATTGGTATATATATATATGAAATTTTATATTTAATTTTATTTTAATTTTTAAAGTTGGAAAAAATAGTACATTATCATTATTCTTTTGAGAATATGCCTGATTTCTTGCATAGAGAATTACAAGAAAAGTAAATTGTTGATGTAGTTATTAGTTTATTACCTAAAGCTATTGATAGTATTATTTTAGCGGAATTATTACAATTAATTATTTGTTTATGTTCTTTTAGACCATTAAAAATTGAATTTATTTCTAAATAATTATTTGATTTAATATTACCATTAACATATAATTAATCTTTCTAAATATAGTTACTTAGTTAAAAAATTTTATTGTTTTTATGGTGATATTGTTATTTTTTTTATTGTTTTCAAATTTTATTTTAAAATTAATTAAATTAAATAAATTAAATTTATATATTTTGTATTGTTTATTTATATTTTTCGAGCTATCTTTTATTAGAAATTCTATGTAAAAAAAAAAAAATATTTATTTATTTAGGTATTTTTTTATGTTAATTAAGTTTTTATAAATAGTTTACAGAAAAAATAAACGAATGGAAAAACAGTATATTTAATTATGTATATATTATCTTATTCTATATATAAAATTCTTTTAGTATTTTTGTAATATTTTTAGGTTTATATTAAACTTTTTTTTGTAATTTTACTTAATAAGAGTATTTATAACACAAACTTTTTTTTTTTTAAATATAAAGTTTTAAAACTTATAATATTTAATATAATTAATCAAAAATAAAATATAAATTAATTATTTTAAATAAATTTTCATATTAATTTATTATTTTTATCATATTAATTTCTACTTGATTTATATCTTTGTTAATATTAAAATCTTTAATAAAATTTATATTTTTGCTTTATTATAAATAATTTATTTCAGTATTATATTATTTTGTTAACTATTAATCGTTATAAAAAGAAAAAATTTAAATTTAAATTTGATTTCTTTAAATATTTATGACAATAAATAATAAAATTTTCATAGATAAATTATAAAAAAAAAAAAATTACAAAAAATTAATTAAAAATGAATTATTAATATGAGAAAATTTGTTAGTATTAAAATATACTTTTTATAATTTTATTAATTAATAATGTAAATTAAAAAGGACATAAAATAATGATGCAATACAAAATATTTATTCTTAAAAACCTTAATCAAACTAATAGATACCTTTATAAAACTTATAATACAATAATAATTAAATTAATATTTAACATTAATAAATGAATTAATTATAAGTCTAAGGAAACTAAATGAATATAAATAAAAATAATTTTTAAAAGAATGATAAAGAAAACAGTAAGAAATATTATAGTATTCATAATAAAACTATAATTTAAAATATAAAAAGTACCTATAGAAGAGCAAAATTTTAATTATTATCACGAATACTGTAGATTATTTACTGCAAATATAGTTTTAACGAATTAAGTATTTATTAAATAAATTAACGAAAAAAAAATATTATTTTTCTTATTAATTTATAACAGATGAAAGAATTGATTTATTAGAAATAAGAATTTTTATAAAAATTTGCTAAGTTAGAAGTAAATCAATTATAAAATATTTTTAAAAATATTAAATTCAATTTAATAGAAAAAAACTGATGAGTTAAATGAAAATGAAGAAGATAAGAAAAAAAGACATCGAAGAGTTGCCGCTTAAATAAATAGATTTTATAGATGTCCACATCCTTCATGCCAAAAATCATATGGGTTTAATATTTTATTCTATTATAATTACATAATTCGTATATTATTTATTAAATAAAAGATCAGAGGGAAGTTTGAATTAACATTTAAAAATAAAACATCCAGATATTTATTAAGGAGGAGAAATAACTAATAGTAATATAGTGATTATAATAGTGAGGATTTATAAAAATGAGTTAAAAATAAATATATAAATATAATTTTAAATAAATGTAAAATATAAATATAATTAAAGAAAATCTTCGCTAAAAATTTTATATAAAAATTAAAATAATAAATTTTTAATATTTTTAAATAATTATTAATTTGTCAGAAATGAATAATTATTAATATCAAATTAATTTTTTGTTTTTACATTTAAATAGATAATAAATTAATATGATTTTTTTTTTTATTAATATTATTATTAATGTTTTTAAAAATTTATAATATTAATTTGTTTTTTCTGACTATATTATTTTTATACATATTTTAATTTAAAAATAAAAAATATATATAATATTATTTTAATTAATTAAATTTATAAAAATATAAAATAATTTAGAAAAAACTATATAAAAGCTTACTTCTATTAAACTTCACTAATGTAATATGTCTATATTAAATCTGCTTATTATTGGATTACTTTATTTATACTAATTGCTATTGATATTTTTTCTATAAGTTTATGTTTTGTTTCTTATTAAAATTTTGAATAATTTCCTCAATAAATTAGCCCTTTTATAGAATAAATATCAAATATTAAATATGTAAAAGACTTGATTATAAAAAAACAATAAGAAAATAAATCCTGCCCATTCCCTTATTAAGATTTATCAGTTTAAAATCAAAATTTTTTTTGTAAAATTTTTCAAAAATAAAATAATATTATAGTTTCAAATATAAATAAAAAAGAATAGGAATTAATTTAAGTTTGCATTTTATATGAGTATGGATATATAAAATATAGAGAAAAATGTTAAATAGATGAAGCACAATGCTCATTCCTAATATAAAATTAAATATATGTCTGTGCTAATTCAATTCTAGAATGTCCAATAAATAATATTGCTTTAATCGAAAAGAACTCTGAAATTAAAGATCTTTAATATTTCAAAAAAATATATTTAAATGAACGTTACGATTTATTAATATCAAATCAATATCCAAACAAAAGACCTATTTATAGTATAGAATTAAAAGATGAATATAATGAAAATACTATATTAGTGGAAAAAATAATTACTTTAGATCAAAATCAAATTATATAATATACTAAGTAAATTTATTGGTCTAAAAGAAATCAGAAATATGAAAATGAATTATTAAAATGGTGGTAACATGGAAGATTTTACCAAAAGCAAGTAGTTTTTTAGTTTATTCTAGCATTTATATTCGGATTAATAGTTCAAATTTGCCATAGTTTAACTTCTTTGAGAATGTGTGAAGATGTTAAAATTTACTAAAGAGTAATACAAATGGTAATTATTTGGTTTTAATATATAATTACTACTGTTAAATATAGAAGAATGTTTGTAAATATTATTTTATATTCGACAGCTGAGCTTTTTATTTAAAATATAATTGCAGAGCTTCATTATTTTTATAAATATAATATTGATATTCCTCTTTCTCTTGCTATTGCTTTTGAATCTTTAAGCATTCTTTTATTTGTTATGTAAAAATGGTACTTTAGAAAAAAAATGAATGTTCATAATAATAATTTTTAAATATTAAATAATACATATTAAATTTGAAAATTTTCTTTTTTTACTTAAGATTAAAAATTTTAAAAAAATGTTTAGTAATGTTAAATAATAAAAAATTATAATTTTTTTATACAAATATTGTATTTATTAAATATGTTTTATATTTATAAAAATTATTTATATCTAACTTTATTTCATTATTAATTACAAACAAAGTTGATATTAGTAAAATAAAATATAATAAAAAAATAGAAAAAATTTTATATATTCTTCAAATAAATTAAATAAAGGAAAAAAAAGTAATATTTTTAATAATTTTTATATGCAATATATTTATCTTATAATATAATAAAAGATTAATATTCATTTTTTTCATACTATTTTTATTTTTATTTTTTAAATATTTTAAAAAAATAAAAAAAATAATAATAAACAAAAATTATGGGAATATACTTGGCATAACCAATAACAACTAAAAAAGTTGTAAATGGGTAAAATCAAAGATTGGAGTTCTGCGCAGCATCAATGCAAGGCTGGAGAGCATAAATGGAAGACGCTCATATCTCTTGTTTAGACTTTGATGGAGAAGGCAAGCATATATTTGGTGTTTTTGACGGACATGGTGGTAAAGTAGTTGCAGAGTTTGTAGAAAAATATTTTATAAAATAATTAGTTGAAAATTAGAGTTATAAAAATGGTTAATATGTTTAAGCCCTAGAAGAGACGTTTTTGTGTATGGATTAATTAATTACAAGCCCTTTAGGAAGAGAAGAACTATAAAATACAAATGCAGGATGCACAGCGAATGTTTGTCTTATAGTAAACAATAAATTATATTGCGCTAATAGTGGAGATTCTAGATCAGTAATATGTGTTGGAGGAAAAGCAGTAGAATTAAGTGAAGATCATAAACCTGAAAATTAAATTGAAAAATAAAGGATACATAAGGCAGGAGGAGAAATTTATAATGGAAGGGTTAATGGAAATTTAAATCTTTCAAGGGCTCTTGGAGATATGGAGTATAAAAGAAATTTAGCAGATGAAAATAATAAAGATCCTAAGTCTTTCCTGATTAGTGCATTTCCTGATGTGAAAGAATTTGAAATTAATACAGATGCAAATTTAATTGTATTAGGTTGTGATGGAATTTGGGAATGTAAAACAAATTAATAAATTGTAGAATATTTTAATGATAAAAGTTAAGTCCTTTAAAATTAGGTTGAATAATTCTTAGATTCTATTCTTGCTCCTTGCACTTAAGGAAATATGGTTGGGCTTGATAATATGAGTATTATTGTTGTTAGAATTAAACATTGAAAATTGATTTTATCACATTTTTATATTTTTTTTTTCTTCTTTATATTTGTATAAAGAAAAAAAAAAAAATATATATATATAAATATATATAATATTTTTAGTATTTACTTTATAAATAATTTTAAATTATTTTAGCTTTTCAAGTTTCTTTTTTTTCGTTTTTATCTATATAATTTAAAACTTTTTTGAATTAAATTAACCTTATTATCATATTTTTTATTATATAAAATATACTATTTTATATTCATTTTTAAAAAACGATTGAAATATTTACGACATTAATATTTAATTTGTTTGCAAACAAAAATATATAATCATTTAAATTTATATAATAACTCATAAGTTATTGAAACATTTAGTTAAATGTTTGCATATATAGTTATTTAAAAAAAATCGAATATTTTTACAATATAAAAAACATAATTTCAAAATATATGTATATATAGTTTTTATTTTTCACGGTTTACCAGTATTATATTTGATAAAGACATATTGATTTTTATCGTTTTAAAGTTCTATTTCTATTTCTTTTTAGTTTAAAGGTTTTTTCTATTTTTTAAGTTTATCCATTAAAGTCATTTTTTTCTTAAAAGTTTGTTTCCAATTTTTATTTTTAGTTGAAAATTTCTTAAAAGAAATTATTTTATGAAAAATAAATATAAAACAGTATAAAATGTAAACTATCAATGAAAAAATTAAATAAACATAATTTTCATTTTATTTCTATATAAAATATAAAGCAATAATAGCAGTAGAAATAAGAATATCCTAAAAGAGGTTTAAATAATTTACAAAATTAGAACTATATGGTTTTATTATAAAAAAACAATCGAAACAAATGAATATATACATAAAAAAGATATAAATTAATAGATGCTATCAAGAAATACAAGTAGTGCAAAAAGGACAATTTTAAATAGATAATTTAAAAGAGGAAACATTCTTCTTATAAAAGGAGATTATTTAAATTCAGCGACTAGAGGAAAATAGTGAGAAGGGATATATTCTGCAGGTATAAGCAAAGTATTTTTGTAAATAATATAAAAAAAAATAATATAATAAAATACAAGTAATACAGCAAAAATACTAGCTATTGAAAGAATCGAAGTTTAAAGGGAAAATTACTAAAACTATAAAAAAATGTAAAATATAATAGGCATAAAGAAAACTTCATTCATTTTTAGAAAAATATAATTACAAATTAAGCTTTTTTAAAATATTGATTTAAATAAAATTGAAAGGGATAATAGTATTAAATAATATAGGCTATTTACGATAAAGTTGTCTTCGTTTTCCATAATTTTAAAATTCTCAAAAAATCCAAAAACATATATTTTAAATAATTAATTGAGAATTTTTTCGTATATATTATGGTTAGCAAAATAACTTAAATGGCTCAAATAGTAAATAAACTAAAATCGCTAAAATGCAGCCCAAAATATACTCAAATCTGAATCAAAAATATAACATAACAATCCTACAAGTAAAAAAATAGCAGTCAAACTATAAAAAAGTCCTTCTTAAAGTTCTTTAATTTTAATCTAACCTTGAGGAATTATATTAACTTAATCAACTTCAACTAGAATTATTTAATTATTTTCTGACATAGGTGATTGGTCTTAAGCATAAATTTCTGAAAAATCAAAACTAACATTAAATTTAGGATGAGATTGCTAATAGAATATTTTTGCTATAAAAGTTGTATTACCATCTACTGATTATATAAAATTTTAAGAAACCAAAACTTAATTATATGAATATATTTTTAAATTTTGTCTCAAATCAAAAATATTAACTTCCTTATTGAAATTAAGTAAAAAATTTTCTTCGATATCATTAGATTTAGGTGCTTTTTAGATAATACAATAAAGATATTCTGTACACTAACGGGAAAACGCATTTGCATATTAATTTTTAGGGCAATTATTTTCACATTTTTGATCAATTTTGTAAAATCCAATAGCACATTATATACAATTATTATCATTTCTTTTTTATTTTAAAAATAGAAAAATTAAAAAAATTACTTATCATAACATGAATCACAATTATCATGACATTTTTCACAAATATTATTATTAGGGTAATATTTAGGAGGACAGTTTTTTTCGCAGTATTTTTTTTCACTACTTGCATTATAAAGTCCTTTACATTTTTTTACACATTCTCTTTCAAAGAACTTGGATTAGTCATCACTTATAAAGTAAAAATAATTTTCTGGACATGTTTCTACACAAATTTTGCTTATTTTTACATTTCCATCTGCCTCTTATTCCTCTCTTTCAAGCCTAAAATAAGGTTTTGGGCAATATTAATAACATTCGTTTTTTATTTCTAAAAAATAATTTTAGTCAGTGCATTCATTGCAAGCATGCATTCTTTCATTTTAGCATTTCGAACATCTAAAATAACATTGTTGGCACTTTCTTTAAATTTAATTATTAAAAACTGCATTATTTGTCTATGAGCAATTAGGATAACATTTATTTAAGAAAAAAAAATTATTTTCTCGGCATGAAGTGCAATTTTTATCTGTTTCAGAGCATGAAAGACATTCCAAAGAACAAGATTAGCATATTCCTGCAGCAGAATTGTATCTTTATATATCACATTAAGGTACACAAGAATTATCTTATAACAGTAAATTTTATAAGCATGATGTACATTAAAGAGATGATAATTAGCATGTTTTACATGGAAAATCACATTTTTAACATATTTTTAGTTCATAATTTTATGATTCGATAAAAAGTGTTTATGGATCATCTTCATTTAGAATTATTATTGAATTAAAATAACTTTTATTTTTTTTATTTTTTTTTTTTAAAAAAAAAAAAAAAACCCAAAAGAACATTCTGATTTACAGATAGAATTTTCTAAAAAATATTGATTCTAACATCTTTTACAAATATTTTTTTGATAACTTTTTAATAAAATAAATAAATATTATAGTTATTCAATTTTTTTAGAATTTTAAATATACCATTCAATACAAGGCTCTTAGCAAGGCTAACAAGAAAAAGAAGGTTTTTAAATATAAAAGCCACATGGGCATTAAGGAATACATAATTAATTATATTTCTATAAATCTTAAAGATTACAATCTTAATTTTTGGTATTATTTTAAATTTTGAATGAATACATTTGATAAGTTTGGCAATTTTACACACAAAATTTTTATATTTCGACAATAAATAGATTTAATATTATACATTCTTACTTAGAAATGCATTAATCTTTGAATTAGTATTTATCTAATGAACAAGTTTTTACACAAAAATATATATTTTCAGTCTCATTTTTTTCCAATAACTAATCCAAATTACATTTTTTTACACATTTATTTACTTGGATATCTAATAAATAGTTTTAAGGGCATTTATTTATACATATAGGCCCTTTTTAAAGATCTTCATATCCAAACAAATTATTAGGACAGTTATCAATACATTAGTTTTTGAATTTGAACGTGTTATTTTAGCATATTTTAACTTAAGCAATTTTTAAAATAGAATCTTTAATTAAATTTTCGTTCAACAATTTTTCCGAAATGCATTTTTATTAAAAACCGTAAAAATTCGAAGGACATTTTACAAAGCATAAATTATTCAGCTCAAAATAACCTTGAGGACATTCTTAAAGACATAAGTTTATTCCATCATTAGATAAAACTTATTTTTTATATTTTAAGCAAGCTTTTTGGCATTAGTTTTCTTCCAAAAAATAATCAGGAAAACATTTTTATGTAAAAAATTGTTTGCTAGTTTCATCTAAAGTACATTCTTGATAACCTTCAGGACATTTCTAACATTATTGATATGTCTTTTATATATAAAAACCTTAGGGGCAGGTTTAAATACATGAAAAATTACAATTCAGGTAATAATTTTCCTAACATTAAATACATTATGATTAATTTGTACATATTTTACAATTTACAGAGCATTTTTGACATTAATTATTTATGTCAGAATAATAATAGTCTGGACATTAAGAGAGACATTAATCAATATTATTTTTGTTTAATAAATAATAAGATTCGTCACAAAGTGTGCATTTTTTCGGGTCTTAATTACAATTTGAGCAATTAGAAACTTCACATGAAATCATTATTCTTATTTTAAAAGGCTAATTGTTGTTTTAAATTTCTTATTGTTATAATTATAAGGCTTTTTTTTATTTAAAAAAAAAAAAAATGCAAATTTATTTATAAAATATTTTAAATTTATAATATAAATTTTACGTTTATTTTTAATAATTTTTTTTGAAAAATATCTAAGAAAACGAAATTTAAAATGAACTTTTTCCAGACAATTAACTTATTAAAAAAAAAAATCAAAAAAACATGAAAAAAAACAAAAATCGGGACAAGAAATACACTAATTATATTAATTTAAGTATTAATTTATTTCACATTTTTATATTTCTTTTAGAGTTTGCTAAAATATCAATCTATTATAACATTTAAAATTTTATAAAAAAAAGCCTTCTTAGCATTCTAAGCATATACTTAATTAACATTATATACATCCTAATTCACATTTTAAACATTATTTTATTTTATTTTATAAGAAAAAGCCCTTTGGACATTAAGAAATACATTATTTTTATTCAAATAAATATAAGTTCTCTTCACATTATAAGCATGAAGTAGCTTATGTACATATTAAACATCCTTATAAGCATTAAAGGCAAGTATTTTTATAATTAAAAAAACTTTGCGGACAATTTTAAATAAACTTTTCGGTAATAATTAAGAATCTATTTTCATATTAAATAAATGTTTTTTTATTTTCACATTTAAATGGAGAATTTTGACAATATTTTCTGTTTTTTTTTAAAAAATATTACTAAGGACACCATTCTTATTTTAAAATTATAGTATCATTTGATTAATATAGTAATTTTTCCTATTAATAGTAAAATAAAAGACTTGAATAAACTTAGTTTCTTTATTTAAAGTCCTTACTACATTTTTATTAAGAATCTAAAATGAAACCTTATTTACATTTAATGCAAATTTGATAAGAAATGCATTCCAAACAATAAAAATGACATCTTTAACATACTTTGTTATTCTAATAATATGTAAAACTACATTTTGTTCTGCAATATCCGTTCTAATATAAAAATTAACCTTTAGAACATTCTTTTAAGCTATATTTTTAGTATTTATTTGGATATTTATCACATGTTTAAGTTTTAAGATTTGAAAATGTAGTTTATGGACATTAATTTATACATTTATTATTATAAAGAAAGAAACCCTTGTGGCATTTTATACATTGAGATGTTTTTTTTCGCATTATAAACATATTTTTTGGCATTAAGTCTCAGTTTATATATTTTTTGATTACAAAATGCATTATTAGTTAATTAATATATATCCTTTTTACTGTTTGTTTTTATTTTATTTATTTTTATATATAAAAAATAATATTTACACATTATAAGCATGAGTTTTCAGTTTAATCAAAACATTATAAACAATTAATATGGCATTTTTTACAATAGTCTAAGTATTAAAAATATTTTTAAGGACAAAATTTAACACAAGTATTTTTAAATTAAATAAAATTAGGTTAGCATTTTTTACATAATTGTATTTTTTAATTTTTAGAATTTTATTTACATCTTAAACAATTTTCTATATAACATTTTTCACATTTATTTTATATTTAAAAATAATTTAAAGGACAATTTTTCACACATAATTTTTCAAATAAAAAATATTAACTTAAGCATTCTAAACAAATCTAAAAATTAATACACTTTTTACAATTTTAAGGACATTTATAATACATATTATTAAAAATATAGTAACTTTCTAATTATGTATTTTATTCATAACATTTATTTTCTTCTATATTTAATATTTAATGCGAATCACATTCAATGCATTTAATACTGCTTTCAATACAATTTTTACAGTTTTGATTACATTTATTACATGTATTATTATTTAAAAAATATCCTTGATTCTTTTTTGATTAAAATAATAATTATATTTAAAAATAAAACAAAACAAAAAAGTTTTTTTTAATACGCATTTACAGCATTAATCATATAAGCAATATTAACATTAAAAAATATATTTTTGACATATATTTAAACATTTTTAAAATTTAAATTTCTTTAAAAATAAAAATAAGTTTAAAATAGCTAAAATAAATTTTATTTTTTACATTTTTAAATTATTTTAATTTTTTTTTTGTAAATAATTAATATTAAATAATTTTTTTATTTTTTTTTATAAAATTATAAATAAAGATTTATTTCAAATTTAAGATGAGAAAACTTTTCAAATACCATTTTATTAAAATAATATATTAGTTTATAAAACATTTATTTATAGTTAATATATATAGAATTAAATACTTAAAACATTTTTATACAAATATGTATTAACAAAAAATTAAATTATATTTAAAAATTATAGATGGATGGTCTAATGAGAGAACAAGACTTGAATTAAAATTTAAGAGTTAGAATAACTAATTATGTAAAATATAAATTAATTAATAAATTATAGTTAGGATTAAAAGAAATCTAATGTTATATTAAAATAACTAGAAAATGAATTTATAAATAAGCTTTATAAATAATTATAATGTACCTTAATAGGAGAAATATAAGGTAAATTTTTATTTTAGAATATATATTTGTAATATCTAAACTAAATTCAAAAAATTAAATAATTTAAATTATAAAGAAATCCCTATTTTCTCCTGGAGAATTTATTTTTTAAGAAAATGATAATGATAATTCTTCTATATATTACATACTTAAAGAATGTGTTTAAATTCAACTAAGCAAACTCCATTTCATAAAATTTCCAGAAAATAATATTCGGAGAAATACATTTTATTACTGGTAATTTGAGGACTTCAGTTGCTAAAGCTACAGGCTTTTGTAGAGTATATAGGATAAAAAGAGAATAGTTTATAGATATCATAAAAAATAATAAATAAGATTATGGGATTTTATAAATAATTAAAGAAGTATTAATAATAAAAAAAGAATTTAAAATTTGCATAAATAAGATTTTATTAATATAATTAAGCAAATTATATTGAAATAGAATACCCGAAAACGCATTTAATCTATCAAGGCATGTTTTTATTTATAAAAATAATCAAAAGAAAAAAAAAATTCAGGTATAATACTATTTATTATCGAAAAAAATGCAGATATTCTATATTTGAAATTATTAATTGCAAAGTATTTTAATATAAATTACAAATTATATGAATTATAGTGAATACTAATAATTATTTAAAGGCTTTGCGGAAGAAAGGAGCGTAAAAGTGAAGAAGAATAGGAAATTCAAGAATAGAAATAATATTTTAGTAATGATAGTAAAATATCAAAATAAAATAAAAATTAATAAGGAAATAATCTAATTAAAATTAAATAATAAATTTATCAAACTAATAATTTTCCTTTTGATTCTTTAATTTCTAATAAATTAAATATTGAAGCTAAGAAACAATAATAATAAAAAAAAACATTCTATTTTTAAAATAAATTCTATAGAATATAATTGTAGTAATTCTTCTAATGCTAAATTTAAACACAAAAATGAAAACACTAAAAGTTATTAAAAATAATAAGCAATTAGAAATAGAAAATCTTCAATAAATTAGCGAAAATCTAATTTACCATATTACATTTAAATCCAAATTCGTAAAAAATCAATTTTAGGTTTAATTAACAATTCTGAAAATCAAATTGTTTATAATACATGTGCTTTTAATCATTTATTAAATAATCAAAATATAAAGATAAATTGGCTAAAATGGAAATTTTAAATCTTAATAATAATCGCAATAATATTAATATTAATAATTATTAAATTATAATCCGTTCTAATTATTCAAATAAAAATTAACTCTCTTAAAGTAATTTATAAAGTCTGGAGTATTTTATTATCACATTATTTGATAAAATTAAGTTTTTTAATTATTATTATCCTCATAATAATTATGAAATTGTAATTGATAATGTTAGATATAGGCTTTTTATTGATAGAAACGCAGGAGGATATAAAAGAAAATAATAAAAAAAATCAGAATGTATTAAAAACTATTATCATAAAGCAACAAAATTTTAAAAGAGTTAAAAACTTAAACATGTATAATTTTTTTCTTATGTTATTTTATTATTTAAATATTCCAATATTTTTAGATACTTAATATTAAATTTTAAATTAATTAAAGTAAATATAATAAAATTTAATATAAAAAATCTTTATTTAAATTTGGTAGTTAATAATATTCTAAAAATTTAAAATAAAAATAATTAAAATAAATGCTTAAAATATAAAATTTTATAGTTTTGAGTTATTATAAATAAATCTATGATTACAATTATTTTATTATTGTTTTTTTTTTTTTAAATAAAAAAAACCATTGTATTAATTTAAATTAAGAATTTATTAAAAAAATAAAAATATTATACACATATTTTGTAATAATATATTATATTGTATTAAAAAAAAAAAAAAACTATTTTGTCTTTATTTTTTTCAAATATTAATTTTAAATAAATATTATTTTTTTATTTGATAATATTTTATTTTTAAATTAATTTGATAATAATAAAAATTTAATATCTAGATGTCAGGTTATCTTTAATATCTAATTTAAAATTTTAAAATATTTTAAATTCGTTAAAAAAGAGGAATCATAATATTCTGATGTTTAAGGTGGTTGGATTAGTTGGTTTTGCGCACTAGAAGATCATTAATTTTTATGTGAAGTTGATGAAAATTATATAAGAGATAGTTTTAATTTATATGGAATCAAATAAAAATTTAATCATTACAAGTTATTATTATATAATTATAATAAGCAATATAAAGATATTTATATATTTAATTTTAGTGATGCCATCGAAATGATTTTATCTTAAGAAACTCCTGATGATGATGATTTAGAAGATGAAAGGTTTTTTAAAAAAAGTATTTAAATAATAATTAAGTTTTTAGATTTCTTGAAGTCTATTAAGAAGCTACAGACGTTTATGGACTTATCCATGCCAGATTTATCACCTCTCCAAAAGGCATATAAGCATAAAAATAATAATATAAAATAAAAAAATATAAATGCAAATAATAATAATAATAATTTTTTTTTTTTTTAAACAACAACAAAAAAGGGCTTGCAATGATGAGAGAAAAGTTTTTAATGGGAGCATTTGGAATATGTCCACGAGTTCTTTGTGAAAGATAAAACGCTTTACCTTTAGGGATGAGTGAAGAATTAAAAACCTCAAGAGTTAAAGTATAATTATTATTATTTCACTTAAATATTTTTTTCTTATTTTTACTTTTCTAAAATAGCTATTTTGTCCTAAATGTGAAGATGTTTATATTCCAAAAAAGAAGTAACTTTATATTATTATTATTATTATTATTTTATTAATATTTTTCTAAATTATAGATGGTAAAATTTAGAATTGAAAATATTATAATGCATTTTTTTTATTTTTTTTTTAAGTTCTGATATTGATGGCTGCTATTTTGGTGTTTCTTTCCCTTATGTTTTACTTATGGTTTTTATTTTATTTTTTAAATAAAATTAATTATTTATTTTAAACAAATACATTTAATAAAGACTTATTAAGATTTAGTTCCACAAAAAAATACATCTGTTTACATTCCAAGATTGTATGGATTTAAAATATATAAAAAAAAAGGCTCAAAATATGCTGAAAATTAAAAACCTAACTAAGAAATAACTCATTACAGTGAGGAATATTTAAAATAAATTAGAGGAAAAGCAAGTATTGTAAATTCTGATGATGCATAGAAAAAACATTGATAAATATAAAATTATAAAAAGATATATTTTAAATAAATAAATAAATAAAATAAAATTAAATTAAATTTTGAAAATAAAAAATTTATTATAATAGCTTATCTTAATTTTATTTTTAAAAATAAAATAATTTCTTAATAATTATTATAAAAGATTGTTAATATTTAATATAAGAATTTCAACATTTAAATGATATAAATATATTTAAATATAAATCATATTTAAAAAATATTATATTTAATATTTACTATAAATAATTTTATTATTAAAATATTATGAATATATATATATTATTAATATATATTATTTCATATTTATTGAAGAAATTAAAATATTTCATTAATGTAATTATTACTATTTTGAATTTTCTTAATTTAATTGATTTTTTTATTATGCTTCTTAATAATTCTACGATTAATTATTTAAACTAGTATTCTAATTATAAGTTTCATTATAAGTATCTTCTTATATACTTTATTAAATTAACGAATAATTTTAGGCTTTTTTAAAACAAAAAATATTTTTAATTTTGTAAAAAAAAAAAAATATAATAATTTACCCTTTTTATATTTTTTCTTTTCATAATCTTTTAATTATTATTCTCTTTTTTCGTCCATTTATTTTTTTATTTATTGAGCCATTTTAATCATTAATAACCTTTCTTATCTTTAATTATTTTATAATTTCTTTTTATACAAAATAAATATATATTAAAAAACTCAATAATTTAGCATTTTAAAATATCTTATTGAATTTTTTCTTATAATTTTTATTTTTTAAGCTCTTATACAGCTTCCATTCTGCGAATATTTTCATCTTTATCAAATTCTTTTAAAATATTTTTGTTATGTTTTTCTTTTATTTCATTAAGCTTTTTTTGATTTGCTCTTTCAACTTTTTCATCTGTTTATGCAAATACTTTCAATAATGCATTTTTTTTTTATTCGACTAAATTTTCATTAATAGAAATAATCTTAATTATATATATATATATATTAAAATAATTAAATTATATTACTTGTTAAATTTTATTTTCTTTTTCTTAAAAATACTTAATTTTTTCTTATTATTACTTTTTAATGATTTATTCCATTTCTTTTTTTTTCTTTTCATATAGGAATGTTTTGTTCAAATATTTTTATTTTTTTTATTCTTCTTTTTCTTCGTTTTTCAATAAAACATTATTAATTTTTTATTGTCTTTCTTCGGCATATTTATGTAAATTAAACAAATGTTATTATTTTTATTTTTCGAATTATTTTTTTTTTCTTTTTTTTATTTATTGATAAGAAATAAAAATTATTTATTAATAAATAAATACTTTTCCGTAATAAATTGTTTTTATTCAAAACCCTATTTTAATTTTTTTTTAAAGTAAAAAAGTATATTTAAAATAACTTTAAAAATATGTGTACTGTCCTTTTATTAGCTATTATTAAATCATTTAGTGTTTTGCATTATTCTAATTTCTTTTCATGATTATATCTTTTAATATCTGCTAACTCTCTTCTTTTTTTTGCTTGAAAATCCATTTATTATATCCTTTTTTCATCTAATTCTTTCATTTTTTTTCTTCTTTCATCCAATAATTATTATTATTTATTTAAAATTATTTCTGTTTATTATCTCATTTTTTCTTGTTTTTCTTTATCTTGTTCATCTTTTAAACGAATTTCCTTTCTTTTTTCTTCTTCCCTTTATTATTATAATTTTATTCTTTCTTATTCTTTTTCAAATGCTTGTAATTATTTTTTTTTATCATCAGCTTCTGATTCTTGTTCTTTTTTAAGCCTTTCCTATTCTTATTTTACTCTTTTTTTTTCAGTCTATTTTTTTTTTTTAAATATTTTAATGTTTCTTTACTTCTATTTTTAACTATTTATTTTCTAATTATCTTTTTTATTCCCTTTCATAAGCTTTTTACATTTTTATTTCATTTTATTATCTTATTGCTTAAGTTATTTTTTCAAACTCTATCATTTTTTCTATTTCAATTTCCTATCTTTTCTTCATTTTTTCAAACATATTTTTTTCTTTTTCTACTAACGATATTGAGCCCATTTACGAAGTTGTATATATTGATTAATCAAATCCAAATCCCTTTTTTAAATAAAATACTTTTTTTTTATTTTTATTATTTTTAGAACTTAAGAAGTTTTAAGCATTTTTGACTATGAATTATTTGGAAATAGCCCATTTTTTCTTCAATTTCAATTTTATTTCTTTCTTCTTTCATCTTTTTTTATTTGCTTACAAAAATATTTATATATTATTATTTTAAACTTGTATAATTTTTTATCCTCTTCTTTCTTCTAAATGAGCTTAGAACATTTATAATGTCTCTTAGTCAGGATTTGCTTAATTGTCTTTTTATCTCATCATTTAAATTATATCTTAATTACTCTTTTTTTTCAATTCATAAGCTCTAAAGCCTAAACGACGACATGCTTCAATAGATTTAGGGGACATTTCTCTTATATTTATTTCATCTACTTAAGGTATTATATATTCTTTTTTAAATAAGATTAACTATGAATTTTTTTATAAACTCATAATACTTTTTTAATTATTTTATTCTTAATTTTCATCTAGTTATTATGTTTACTAATCATTTTAATTTTAATTATTATTATATTATTCAAACTTAATTTAGTCTTATTGATTTGTATTTTCTGCGTTTTCTTAGTACATTTTATTTTTAATTTTTTTGATTTTATAAATATATAACTTTAATAAAGCATATCTAAATATAAAAATATATTTAAATAGTTCATCTGTTATTATATAAAGGTTTTTTAATTATTTATCTATAATAAAATTCGTTTTTTATAATTATGATATTTTTTTTTAAAAAAATAATAATATAATATAAAAATTTGAGAAATATTAAAAAAATTAATAATAATAATGAAATGATTACATATATTTGAATATTTTTATTATTTTAGTTTCAAAAAATTATGATATTCTCAAAACAAAATTTAAAAAAATATTAATTAAAAAAATACCAAAACTATTTATAAATTTTTTAGTCAAAAATAAAAATGAAAATTCTTATTTAAAAATATTAAAAAAAAATAATTATTAATTATAAGTTTAATAATAAAAATTTATTATATATTTTATAATATAATTCTATTTAATAAATAAAAATTTATTAAATAATTAATATATTAACAATTTTAATATTTATAATAATTTAATTTAAAATTTTAAAACAAATATTATTTTATACAATGCATAATGAAGATAGAAAATAGAAAAATAAAATAAAAAATTATTATATAATTATATAGAAAAAAAAAAATATATAATAACTAATTACATTTATATTTTATAAACTGCCTTTTTCTTTTATTAATTAATATAAGTAAGACAGAAGAATAAGAGAGTAAAAATTATATTTTTTTATATGAAAAAAATTAAAGGAAATCAAGTTCTAATAATAAGCATTTATTGTTATTAATTGTTATATAAATTTTCTTCATCATTTGTCACATCTTTATTACCAATTTTTTAAATTATTTATTCATAATATTAAATAAAAATACTATCAAGTTATGTAGTTTGTTCTTCTATTAAAATAAAAATATAATGACTCATAAAAATCGCAGTGCTAATATCTATCATATAATGAATTCTAAAAATTAACATAACAAGAGCCATATATACATTTATAAACTAAACAATTTTAAAATGATTTACTTTTCCTATTCTAAGCCATTCTAAAGCGCACAAATTTAAAAACCCGCAATGTCCGCTATAAAAAAAATCACTTGTATGTCCATAAGGAACAACAATGCTTGGAAACTAAGGATCTTTCCAATAATAACCGTTAGGAAATCTCAATGTTACTAATAATTATGTAAAAGCTCTTACTGAATAATATACTGCTGTCGAATATATTATTCTGCCTGTTTATATGTGGAAAATCCAATAAATATAAAGTGTTAAGAATACTATATCCATTAATAATGAACTTGAAATTTATAAAAATTTGGCTAAATAAACATTAGTGTTCACTAATTAATTCATTTGCGACAATGCTTCTTATATTGGGTCATGTATGCATTCTACATCTTTACTTGGAATTGCATATTTTTTGCCTAAATACACGGAACATATAAATACTACTACTACAAGTGTTTTAAAAGCTATTTTTTTTCGATTTCTGTACATATAATTCTATTTATATTTTTTTTTAATTTATTGTTTATTTGTTTTTTTTTATAATTTTTTTTATTATGTCTTTTTTTTGATATTTTTATTTTCTATAATTTTTGTTTTCTTTTTTTTTCTTTATTTAATATAAATGAGTAAATTTTTCGTTTGTGTTTTTTTTTTTTTTATATATTTTAATTGTAATAAACAACATAATAGAGAATATATTAAATACTATTCTTAATATAGATAATTATTTATAATTTTTTTTATTTATATTTTTTATTAATTATATTTGCATGAATTATACAAATTTATATTTTTTAAAAATTTAATAAAAACTTATAAAAGTTTTAATAAATTTACTAATATTTTTCATAATAATAAAATTCAAAAAAAATAATGTTAAATTATTTAGTAAAATTAAAAAAACATTTAAAATAAAATAAAAATAATTTTAATAACAAATACACTTAAAAATATATTTAAAAAATAAAAAAAAATATGGGAAATTAATGTTGTACAACAGGCCCAAATGGGGAAAATATTGAAGAAGTACATTTTAAGCCTTAAAGTCCTGATTCTCCCTTATATTTAGAAGCAAAAGAAGAAGAATAAAATATAAATATAACAAATAAAAATACGAATTTAAATGTTCAAAATGCAAATGTAAGTGATACATCAATAGGAAAATTTGAAAAACAAGTAAAAGAATAAAGCATTTAGTAAGTTTAAAAAAAACTAAGTTTGAAACCTGTAATTACATAAAATAATCAACAAAATGAATAATAATAAGAAGAAAACGATGTTTAATAAACTCATTGTCCAAACGACAGTTTAGCAAAAAAAATTTCATAAATTCCAGTTTATGATAATCCTGCAACAAAAAAATCATATGAAAAATGCGGATAATTCATTTATGATGAAGACACTCAAGAAGATGAATTTTTGCCTAAATTAGGTCCTTATGAATTTGATAATTCTGCAGTTTACCTTGGTTAATGGAAAAATGGCTAAAGGTTGCTTTTATTTTTAATTTTTAAAAAAATATAAATAGACATGGTAAAGGTAAATAATATTGGCAAGATGGATCTTTTTATGAAGGTATTTATTTTTCTTAAAAAATATAAAATATTATATATAAATAATAGGTTATTGGAGAAATAATATGGCAAATGGAAAAGGTAGACTGATCCATGCAGATGGAGATATTTATGAAGGAGAATGGTAAAATGATAAAGCACATGGAAAAGGATTTTATGATCATACAGATGGGGCTAAATATGAAGGATATTGGTATGAAGATAAATAGCATGGGGCTGGAATCGAGACATGGCCTGATGCGGCTAAGTATGAAGGAGAATATGATATGGGAAAAAAACATGGAAAAGGTATTTTTCATTGGGCTGATGGATCAGTTTATAATGGCTAATTTAATAATAATAATGTATTTTTTATATTTTATTCTTTTTTTAAAAAAAACTATATGTATTCGGGTTTTTAGATACATGGATATGGAACTTATGAATGGGCAGATGGAAGAAAATATATTGGAGAATGGAAAAATAATAAGATGTATATATTTATTGTATTCTTTATTAACTTTTTTTTATTTAAAAAAATAAAATAAAAATAAAAAAGGGATGGTAAAGGATAATTTTAATGGGCTGATGGACGAAAATATAACGGAGATTATTTAGATGATAAGTTGAATAATTTATATTAATTTTATTTTATTTATTTATACAAAGAAAACATGGATATGGTGTCTTTGAATGGCCTGATGGAAGAAAATATTAAGGATATTGGGAAAACGGTAAATAACATGGAGTTGGAGTATATATAGGTTCAAATGGATAAGAAAGAGAAGGAGAGTGGATAGATGGAAAACGCATAAAATGGACAAAAAAAACTGAAGAAGAAGAACATGAGTGATATTAAGGAAAAAGATGATGAAATTACAATATTAAAATTATATAACTATCTGTATTTATTAATATATATGAAAAAAAAAAAAAATTATTATATAAAACTAGTTTTTTATTTTTTTTTTTTCTTAAAAATAATACGTAAAAATAATAAAAAAAATAAAATAAGATAAAAAAAACATAAGTTTCTATGGATTTTATATCAACATTAAATTGGCCAGGTATATAAAGTTCTAAGTTTCATTTAGGAAATCGGAAACATATACATCCCGTAGATTAATTAAATTCGAATATAGAAGGAGGACCAATAGAATTATAAGGAAAAAAACATTTTGAATGGCATCCATCAGATGTATTAGAATATAGACCATAATTTAAAGTGTTTCCGTAGAAAAGTAATAAATAATTCTCAGAAGAGGGTTCGAAAGTCCGATAAGGTTTAAAAAAAATACCTTTTAATGTTAAAGAGAAAAAGCCAAGGGCATAATTGCTTCATTTCGAAGAAAAAATATCAGGGCATATAGAAGATATTCCTAATGGAATTCGAACTTTTTAATAAGCAAATAAAACTACTTAAAAATAATATTTATTAGAAAATTAAATGCAATCTAAAACTAGAGTTGAAAGTCTAATGAGCGCACGAAATTTATTGCCTGTAAATAGTTTGGGTGATAAACCTTATAGGTTTCCGGAATATTAGGCTGATTTTTTCAAACCTGGGGGACTTATTCCAGGTTCTACTAATGCAGATAGAAGATAAAAAAAAGCGAGCGAAAAATAACTCCAAAGCGTTAGAGTTCCTGGAAAACTTACGTGGAAGGAAAGGGAACATTTGGAAATTATTAATGAAGATAAAAGATAGTTTAATGAATTGGATAATTGGGAAAATACTATATTTAAAGAGGCCAATCCAAATTGGAAAGACCCAGATAAATTTTTTGAAAATGATGATATTTTTAATAATTAGACTAATGCTAAAGGGGGGGTCGCTAAAGATAGCAAAAAGCCAGCAAAAAAAAAATGATTTTTTTATTATTATTATTATTATTTTATTTCTAATAAAAAAATTTTGTAACTAATTTTTTTTTTAAATTAAATATAATTTTATTAAAACTTTATTTAATTATATTATTTAAATACATAATATTGATATAAATATAGGACATAACTATATATATAATAATTTCAAAACTTTATTTTATAATTAATATTTTGATTGATATTTTAAAGTATATTATTATAATTAATTTTATTAACTTCTATTTTATGGTAAAAACATTGATATTTTGTTTTTTGTGTTTGATAATAGTTAAACTAAATAATAATTAAAAAATTCCATTAATCTAAATTTTATATTATATATGAGTAATTTTATCCATGAAAACTAAAAACATTAAAATATGTAATGGTTTTTAAAATATTAGTATAAATTTTAATAAATTAATTTTTAAAGTTATTAGATAAGTTGACTTTTCAGTAAAAAGTTTATATTTTTATTTATTTTTAGGAACTTTAGAATTAACTTTTTTTCTGTTAGTGTTTATAATTTTGTTACTAAAGCTGACTAATTAATACTAATTAGTCTTTACCTATTTATTTGTTTCCAAGGAATAAATATGAAGATTTTTTTTATCTTTTTCTTTTTAGAATACTAAGAATACAATAATTATCTTATTTTTTTATATTTTATAATATAAAAATATTTTAATCTATATATTAATTATTATAATATTTTCTTCTTTTTAATTTTTTTGTTTTTTTTTAAATATATTTAAATAAAGTGAGAAATATATTAAAAAAACTATTTTATTGAAATAAAAAAACAATAATATTTGAAATAATAGAAATAAATAAAATTAGTTTATATAGTAATAAATAATGGAATAAGAATAAAACTCATAAAATATAATGAAAATATAATTTTCAAATAAAGAAAATATTTAATATTTTGATGATTTTGATTACAATAAAATAATAACACCCCCGGAAATGTAAAAAGCAGTTATTGAAGCTCATTAAAATTTATATTATAATATTGAAGTAAAAAAATACATAAATAGAAAAAAAATATAAATAAAAAAAAGTAAGTACATAATAAAATAGAAAATACATTAAAATAAAGAGAAGATGAATTTTTGTATGTTTATAAAGAATAAATGACAAAAGTATTAGCAGAATTAAAAATATTAAATAAAAGAATGGACGAAGAGATTTTAAGGTAAAAATCAAACGATAAAATTAATAATTTAATAGAAGAAAAAAATTATTTTAAAGAAAAATCTTTAAGGCTAGATAAATTATGTAAAGAATATGAACGAGAAATAGAAGAATAATAATTCAAAATAAGAATTTTAACAGAAGATAAAAATTATTATGAAGGATTTGTTATTGAATCTCGTAAAGAAAATAACTCTTTAAAAAAAGAGCTTTTGCATCTTTATAAATAGTAATAATAAGAATTACCTATCAGTTCTTAAAATAAAAACAGTAATAATCCTTTAAATAATAACGATTAAGAAAATAGTCCTTAAGATGAAATATTTTTAAGTGAAATTAATAATGTTAATTAAGTAGTTAAAAAAAGTAATTCTTAGATAATATATTCTACACGACCTTAAACATAAAAAACTAAACCGGAAAAAGATTTATACACTGAAGTTACAAATTTAAAAGAAAATGAGGCGAAATATATAGAAACTCTAAAATAATTAAGAATATTTTTGGAAAAAGAAAAGGAAACGACAAAAAAGTTAAGATCAGAAATTGTATAAGTAAATAGTTTGAGATCAGAACTTGAAGTTATTTTATTAGATTGTATTAATGAAACAAAAAAAAATATTGCAAAAAGGAAATAATTAAATCCCTATATAGATGAAATTTCATATAATTAATTTAATTAATCTGATAAAATGTAATTTTTTATTATTCGAAATATATATGTAAAAATATATATAAATACATATTTATTTATTTAAGATAAACATTAAGAAATTTCATTAATAAAAAATCTTTCCTAAATGAAATTTATTAAATAGTATTCGGAAATAACAAAGCTTTTCAAACTTAATAACCTGCATTGATACTAGATGAAAAAATAAATTAATAATAAAAAGATTAATATAGAGTATCAGAGAATTGGAAAATCAACTGTGCTTAAGCAAAAGATATTTATAAAAAATTCAAAAGTTTTAAACTAACAGTAAAACCTTAATAAATTTCAGGAAGTAAATATTTACTTTAAAAAGTATTAAAATCTACTAAATTTAATTTTTCTGAAAAAACAAATACAACAATTAGTAAAATATATTAAATGCCTAATCAAAAGTAAGAAATATCTAAAAAAAAATTATATAGATAAACATGCGAAGAATTTTAGTAAAGTTAAAATTATAATATATGAAAGTTAAAAAATAATATTTAAATAATTTAAAATAATATTAATATTTATATTTATATTTATATATATATTTTTATTTAATATTAATTTATATTTAATTAATATTTTTTTAATATTATCTATAAATTTTTTGATTTATTTAATTATAATATCTAATAAATATTATTTATTTATTTATATAAAGTTATATTATAAATATATTTTTTTTTTTTCTAATTTTTTTTTTATTATTATTTATCATTTATTTTTAATTAAAATATATACTGATATTAAAAAGATTATATATTGATCATTTTATTTCATTTTTATACTTAAATTTTTAGAAAATATATTTTTATTTTAATTAATTTTTAAAAGAAATTATCAAATTATTTTTTTTTTGTCTGGATTTAATCAACAATTTTTTTATTAAAGTTTAATATAATAATTAACTTTCAATAATTTGCCTATTTTTAAATTATATTTAATTTTTTTTTTTTAAATAAATTATTCTTTTGAGGTTAGAATTTTATATTCATAATTACAAACAAAAATATATGTCGAAATATAAAAAAATAAAATATTAATATTATATAGAAGAAATTTATTATTAATTAGTATTTTACTATTTTTTTTAAAAAAAATATAGGGATAACAAAATAAATAAAAATAAAAAATAAATAAACTAATTTAATAAATATGTGTTAATAATATTACAAATAAATTTTTTAATAAAAATATACAAAGTATTAAAAGATAATGTATTTTTTTATATTCATAATATTACTATACTTAATATAAATGAATTAAAATAATTAAATTTTTGAATTATTAAGTATAATTGATAAACTAAAAAAATCAAATTTATTTATATATACTAATGTAATTATCTTATTTAAATTATTATTAAAAAAAAGGATAATTTATAAGAATATATATATAAAGATTTTCTAAGAAGTTAAGAAAAACAAAATAACAAAAATAAATTTAATAATTAGAATATATGTAATTTTTAAATGAGAACGAATACTGAGCGTGAAATATAAAACGAAGGAAATTATAAAAAAGTAAAATCATATAAATTAATATACATACATATAATTCTATAAATAAAAAAAGTTTTATAAAAATAATCATCATAAAATTAATAAAATTTATAAAATATTTACAATAATTATTAAAAGGTATTAAATTAAAAGTTTAATATCTAGAATAAAAAATTAATAATGATATAAATGAAGATTAAAGGAAATTTTCGAAAAGGAACAAACAATATTATAACAATAACAATAAGTAAAATATAAATTTATTTATATTTTTGTAAATAAATAAAAGTAAAGCTATTACTTAAAACAGAAAAATTAAACTATAATATAATTTTATAAAAAGAAGACTTAATAATTATAAAATTAAATAAAAAAATAGTGGGAGAAGTAATATATTTATAAGTAAAAATATCCATATATCTTTTTTTATTTAATATTAAGATAAAGTTGAATAGTTTAATATAAAAAGAAAAAGAAAAATATTTATAATAATTGGTTTAATAAATTATTTAAAAATAAGAATTAGAAGAAAGAAAGGCTTAAGTATGATCGGAAATAAAAAAGCTTCAAATGAATTAGAATTAGAAGTAAAGCTTCAAATAAATTAGATTTAGAAATAATAAATTAATACGATTTTTTTTTATTAATTTTTGTTTAAAATTTATTTAAATTACAAAACAATATATAAAGGTTTAATGATTTATACTCTATGATACCTATATGGTTTCCTTAAATTGGCTAAATTCATCCTAAATAAAATTAATTATATTAAAATATATAAATTAATAAAAATAATAATGAGAAAAAAATAAATTATAAGCATAAAGTTTTATCATTTTTTTAAATATTAAATATAATTCAATTAATAATTTTGATAATAATAGAAATATGTGAAATTATTATAATTATTCAATTTCTTATATAAATTAAAATAATATTATGTATTTAACTGATAAATAATAAAGTTTCCTAGGATGTTCTAATATTAATTTAAAATTAATAAGAAAAAATATAAGTTTTAATGAAATAAAAAATATTATGAATAATAATTTATAGAGTATATTAAAAATAATAAATATTATTTTAATAAATATATATCATATACACAAATAATATATAATAAGAATTTTTTTCGAAATCATTTATATTACTGAAATAAGATAAAATTTTATAAATTAATCGCTCTTTAAATATTAGTAAAAAATTAATGAATACTTTGAATTTAAAAAAACTTAAAATTGGGAACTATAATAAAAGAAAATGTACACCAATTAATTTAAAAATATAGAAAAATTTAATTTTCTAAATTAAAGATATCCGGGAAGTTAAAAACCATCTATTTCTGAAATGTGGAACAGTTAAGCAGATTAGTAAAATCAAAATAATGATGAAAATAAAAATGGATAAAATGATAGGATTATTTATAAATAAAAAATAGTAAATGAATGTAATGTACGAACTTATTAAATTTAAATAATTATTTAAAAATTGGATAATATATAAGAATTTATTGTCTAATTTAACCTATAGTATAAACAAAAATATGAAATAATAGCAAATAGATAATAGTCACTAACTTGTTTAATTAAGAAATAAAATAACTATTTAACACAATAATTAATGGCATGAAATTAAGATTTAATGCTGAGGATCTTTTATAATAATTGATTAAAATAATTAAAAAGGAAGTAAAAAAAACTGGAGATAAAAATTAAAGATTTAAAACTGAAGGAAGATATTGTATATATTGTAAGATGATATTTTTTTTATATATATATTTATTTAAAAAAAATTATTCTATTTTTTTTATTAAAGTTGGCTATGTATCAATTATTAAGAATAAATCTTAATACTTCATGCAGGTTCATATATCTACGAATATCTATGTTTTCTTTGGGAAACCAAAATTCATATATAAATATTAACTTTAATGATTATTATAAAAAATATATATTTTAATATATTTAAATAAAATATTTAAATCAATGCATATTTTATATTTTTTTTCTTTTTTAAGTAAATTAATTAAATTTATGTGAATAATCTTTAAAAAAAACTGCATATTAATAAAGTTATTATAAGTAATTAAAGTTAAGGAATTTTCCCTAAACTTACATAAGCAAAATTTAAGGAAAAAAAAAATACACATTAATTAATAATTTATATTTGTAAATTCTTTAATATAAATGAATCTATAGTAAATTTTTAGAAGTAAAAGTATCATAAATATAATAAAAATATATATATAAAAAAAAAATGTATTTAATAAATAAATGCAAAAGATATTTTAATTCTATTTTATTTTAAATTATTTATTTTTTTATAAAAAAAAAATAAAATAAAAGTATATACTTTAATATACTTTAATGTTTATATTCCATTTATTTATTTTTGGTAACATTTCCTCAACTCTTAATAACAATATTAGTAGGTTTACTAATAGTTGGGTCTATTTATTCGAATTAAGGTACAGGTCTAGCATATCCTGAACTAACGAACTATTCTGGATAATATTTTTTTAATTTTCCATAAGCAGCATTTAATTCTACACAACTTTTAAAATAATGTGCTGAATCCTTTTATTTAAATGGTTGAAAAAATTAATAATTAAAAAACAATAATTTTTTTGCTTACTAAACATTCAGGTCTATAAAAATCTTTAAATAAACCATATTAATTCATGCAATGTAATGTCATTCTTTCATATAAATGGCAGGCTATAAGTGAATGAGCCTTTTTATTTAGTTATAATTAGTTTATAAAATAATAATTTTTTTTACTTTGTATTCAACAAAATCGAACTTTAAATCTTTTAATTTTTCAACGTGGTTCTTAGGTAATGAAGTCAAGTTTAATTTATTTCTAAACATATAGTCTGAAAATAAATTTAATATTAGTTTTCAAAAAAAAAATTTAAATTTATAAATATTATTTATATACCGTTTTCACTCCAAGTTTCGTCAAAAATAGTCATTTTTAATAATATTTTTATTTTTTATAATTTTTTTTCCTTATATAATTTTAATATTTTATTTATCTTAAATATTATATTTAATTCTTAAAAAATTTTTATAATTACATATAAATAAAATAAATATATATGTATAATTACATAAAAATAAATATGTATATATATTTATATATATTATTATTAATATATATAATTATTTATTATTAAAATATTATATTTATTTATTTTTAAAAATAAAATTTAAACAATAATATTATTTATTTATAAATTATAAATTTTTATTTTATAATACAATATTTATTAGCTAATATTTAATACCATTTTTATAAAATTATTCTTATAAAGATTTATAAGAATAAAATTAAAGAATAATCTTTCAAATTTATTTTATAATTTTACTATTAAAATTATTTTTTTTAATTTTTTAAATGGAGTTTTATTTATATATACTTTATAATGGAGAATTAGATATTTATTTATTTAAATTAAGAAATTTTTACTCTTTATTAATAGTATTCGCGTTTTTTTATTAATAATTTTAAATATAAAAAGTGATTTTTTTTTTTTTATTTTGTTAAATACATGCAATATCACTTTTATTATATTTGTGTTTTTCACTTATTTATTTTTAAATTACACTTTAATAGTTTTCATGAGATTATAATTTTTAAATGCTTCTCTTTTAAGAGTTCGATAGCGTATTTAATCTATCACTTTATTATTATAATTATTTTACATGAAAATATTAATTAAGTTTTGGGTTATGGCAATGTACAGAATTAGATGCTGTTTTAATTAACTAAAGTATATTATTTTGACATTGTTTATATATTTAATTTATCGTATTTATTTTAAGTTTACTGTTTTATGTTTTCAATTTTAGTTTTTCTTTAGAGTTTTCCTAACTGTTTTAATTTCTGCTGGTTAAAAAAGTTGACTTATATACATCTTTTATTAACTTATTTTTTTTATTTTTTTTATTTTTTTTTTTAAAAAAAAATTACATTTTATTAGCTATTTTTTTATTTAGATTTAAAATTTTTACAAAAAACTTAATTTTAGATATTTCTTTAATAAAGATTATATATTTATGTTTATTTATTAATATGATTGATTTTTTTTTACATACTATCATTAGATTTTTTATTTTTTTATATATAATCAAAGTTTAAATATTCACTAGGATTTTCTTTTGATATTTCACAAGATTTATATTTATCATATTCCATATTATTGGATTTAAAAAAATAATTAAAATATATTTAAGGAGAACTTGGTTTTCTACTGGAAATATTAGATACTGATATTTATTATAAATTATTGTGCATCTAATAAAAATCAAGCTTTGATTTTTTTTTTTATAGAAGTATTTTATAATTTTAAGAAGGAGTAGTTTGAAGTTTTTAATAATCTTGTTTATTTTATATTTATTTTCTTAGTGGAGTAAATTGAGTATTTTAAATATTTGATTGACTTTATTTTTTACTTTTGCTAAAAAATATATTTAAATCTAAAGTGTTTTTTTAATTATTATTTATATTTGTAAATTTTTATTATTGTTATTATTATATTTGATATTATGATTATTATTATTATTATAATTATTATTATTATTATTATTATTATTATTATTATTATTATTATTATTATTGTTATTACTATTGTTATTATTATAGTTATTATTATAGTTATTATTATTGTTATATTAATTTTTATTATTACTATAATTTTTTCTAATAATTATATTATTCTTTTTTATAATATTAATATTAATATTAATATTATTACTTGTATTTATTTATTATACATTTTTATATTTATATTGTATTATTTTTTTTCTTTAGTTTTAAATATAATTACATTATATTTTATCTGATTTATCAGTATATTATTATTGATTATTTATATCTTTTATTGTATTTTTTTAATTTCTTATATATTTTAACTTTTCAATTATGTATTACATTATATTTCTTTAGTTTTATTAGTATCTTCATTATTAATTTCATTATTTTATTTTTATTAAATCTCATTAAAATTTGTTTTTTCATTTTCTTATTATATCATATTTTTCAAATTTTATTCTTATTCTATTTTTTAAAAACTAATTATTTTTTATACTGTTTTTTTTTACTAATATCTATAAATTACTTTATTTAAATATCGATTTTTTTTTATTTAAGGAATTTCTAAAAAGAATTTAATGATTTTTTTTAATTATCATCATCTTCCAACATTGTAAAACTACTATAATATGATTCTTTGGTTTAATTTAAGATTTATTTTAATTTTTAATTTATTTATTCTATTGTTACACTCTTAAAACTATTTTAACTTTCAAGTTCTCTTAACATATTTTATTATTATACGTATAAACTTTCCTTCATTTATTTAATTTCTTCCTTTTACTAAATTTCATAACATATAATTTTATTTATTTTTTAATATATATATTTTCTTTTTTAATTATGAAATTTGTTTAAAGGCATTGTTATTGGTAACATAAATAATCTAGGAATATCTGTATGATATTTATAATATTCGACAATTAATTCCATTTTATTTTAATACTCTTTTTATTGATAAAACCTTTTAAAATAATTTTAATCGTCATCATATGTGTAAAAATCAATAATTTTTATTGTATTCTTAGTTATTTAATTATATAATAAGTCATGTATATCTTTCGTATAATAATAAATTTAAGATGCTGAATATTTTTAATATAAAGCTTTCTGTATAATCAATTAATAATATTAATGACTTTTAGATAAATTACGATGTTAATAATAATTATACATATTTTTATTTATTTTATAAATTAAAATAAATAATTTTAGTTAATATGTATTTTAGATTTAAAAAAAAATAAAAGACTCTAATAAAAATTTATTGAAAGATAAAAATAAAGAATACAGATAAATGAATAAAATATATTATAAAGTAATTATTAAAAATATAAATAATTTTTTTTACTTATTTATTTGTAAAAAGATTATTTATATACTTTAATTTAAAAATAAAATAAATTTAATAAAATAATTTAAATTTTAATAATTAAATTTTTAATAATAAAATAATATGTCTAAAATAATAATAAGAAAAACATAATCATATTAAATAAATAAAAATGAGAATAAAAATATTATTAAAAGAAAATGAAAAAATCAATATAAACAAACAAGAATAAATTTAAAAAATATAAAAAATAATAATAATATGAATAAATATAATAATTTTAAAAATATTAAATATTATTTACGAAGACAAAATTAGAAAAAAATAAAAAAAATAAAAATATACATGATTTTTTAATAAAATAAAATATAAATATAAATATAAATATAAAAAATAAATATAAAATTTTTACTAAACATATATTAAATTTAAAAATTTATATTAAATAAATATCTTTAATAATATTTAAACTATTGTGATAAAATTCCAAAGTTAATATAGAATATACCGATTTTTCTTAAAAGGTAATAAAAAGTCTATTTTAAGTATATATATATTTATAGTCTAAAATTTTTTAAAAATACATCAAATAAAAATAATTTTTTAAAATATAAATAAGAATATATTTTATAATAATGACAAAATGTAAATTTATAAAAAAAAAAACATATATACTTACATATATCAAAACAAAAATAAAATTACTAAAACTAATATCATAATGCATTTTTTGTTTATATATATATTTTTTTATTTTATTTTATTTTATTTTATAAAACTCAATCAAAAAAAATGCAAAACAGCCTCTTTATTTTGATTCATTTATATAAAAAAATACAAACAAGTAATGCATAATGTATATATAAATAGAAAATCAAACAAAAACAAAATTATTTAAAAAGTTTTCTAATGATTAACTAATTAGTTAAATGAAATTTCCTTAATGAATATTTTCAATACATTTATTAAAGCTTTTTTCCAAAAAAGTGTTCATTTTATCCCCTCTAACTCCATTAATATTTAAAAATTTTTATTAAATACCTTCATTAATTTCAAAATCTTCCAAAGACCAAACCGATAATTCAAAAGTGATACAAAACCCCTTTATTCTTTAATCATTTTAGGCAGTTTAAACTGCTATTTTAGCACTTTCTTAGAATCCAATAATTGAAAGATTACATGAGAAATCAATTTTTTACAAAAATTAAGAACTTAATATAAAATTTAGAAAATTTTAAACTTCATAAAAATCTTAAGGGCAAATCGAAAATACAATAAACCCTCTTTAAGCAAAAAAAGAAGAAAACAAGTTGAAAAAAAGGTCTGTTTTTGACTAATTTTATAAAAGAATAACGATATTATATTATTTGAAAGGAATAAACATTTATGTTTTAGAATTAAAATAGAATAATTTTTGGATTTGTTTAATATTTTTTCCTTCATTTTTTTTCGGCAAGGAAAAAAAACATCGTATTTGGAATTTTAATCCTCTTCTTTTTAAATACGGTATATTTTTTGAATTTTTTTTTACTATTTTTTTCCAAATAGTGAATATATTAAAAATATGAAAGAAATAAAAATTATTTTTTTGGATATTTTTATATTCTACATTTTTAAAAATAAAACAATTTCATTTTAAATTAAAAGCATTATTTAAAATCTTGAATAGGTCTTTTTTTGGAAAAAAAATGCAGCAAATCCTATTAATAATGAAGCTTTTTAAGACTTAAAAAATTATTTATTTTCATACATTTTTATGGCAAATAATTAGAATAGTTAATATAAAATAAACAGCATGTTTGTTTTTTTTAATATTTTATTCATTTTTTTAATTTAGTTATTTTTATTTAAAAAAAAATAAAAAAATAAAAAAAATACTTTTGTTTATTTATATATTTTATAGATATATTTGTTCACAAAATTAAGTTATTGAATTGTTTTTTTTTTTAATTGTTATTTGCTTTTAATATTAATTATTATTAATACTAATGTTATTGTTATTGTTATAATTATAACTATTATATCTATTATTATTAATATTACAT